ATATATATATATATATATATATATATATATATATATATATATATATATATATAGTACTGGCCGGTGTTGCACTGAAATATTTTCTTTATGACCAAATGGAGTTTCATTTTATTTATCACCTGTATTAATGTTTTAGGTAAGGACAATAATTTACATCTCGTCTACCTCGATCTACGTAGTTTCTAGGCTGCATGATTGCCAATTAAACGTGCCTGATATTGGGTGCCAAGATTAAATGATCTCAACATGAAAACCACAAACTTTATCAAGTATGACAACACAATATTTTCTAATAGGAATGACTCAAGAATTATCCTAAGATATTTCCATAAACCCTTGCCATCTCGGTTATCTGTTATGATACATTATTGTATCTTATATATAATCCATTAGAGCTACTCTATTGGATAGCGATAACCGAATGACATTCTTTCGCAACCCAGAGAAATTGCATTAAAGTAGGTTAAATAATAATAATCTGTTTGATATCTAATTCACTGAATTTGAGAAATACCACTTCAATCAAAGTCAACCTTGAAATTAAGGTCATTGTTGTGCACAGTTTTGAATGTTCGTATTGTTGTCACTATAATGGAGCAAGCAGCGCTCGAATACAAGGGTTCCCGTTGTCTCAGTGCAGCGGACAGAAACAGAATTGCACGAGGAAAAAAAAATGGGATTTTCGATACTAAATCTTGCCCAATGCTTTAACGTTAACAAAAGCACGATTAACAGGATAATCCATGGGAAAACAACAACCAGAACAGCTTATGGGGGCTGTTAATCGCGTACATCCAAACAGGAGGACGACCTGATTCGCATTACTCAGAAAAACATTTCAGAAAGTCGTTGTCGTCTATCCAACCGGAAGATCTTCCCCGCCATTCATGCTCCTTTCTGCAAAGAATGAAAAAAATTAAGATGCGTCCGGTTTCAGCTGACGTCAAGCCAGCATTGAACGCGCAGCAAGGGCATATTGATTTCGCCCGAGAATTAAAATCTCATCGTGCGTCATTTTGGCGATCAGTTTATTTCCTCGACGAGTGCATTGTGTGCGAAGAGCTTTGGAAGGCTGACAAAAAAGTCATTTGTGGTGAGAATTTCCCAAAAGAACTTATTCCACCAAATGAAAGAGTTTCTCACCCGTCGAGATTACTCATCTGGGCAGGGATGAAACATGGTCGGCCTTATCCGTGGATATCAGTCAGAGGCACCATAAATAGTGGAAAATTTGCATCAGTGATTACGAAAATGTTTCCTGAATTTCATGAAAAAAAATTGGTCTGGAAAAGTTATCGTTTTTCGGGATAAAGCTGCGTGTCGTGTTTCACGAGAAGTTAGTAAATTTATTTAGTTAAGGATTCTGGTTCACTTATTATTTGCTTTTAGACCTCAGAAAAGATGCGTGACTCTAAGGTCCAGTTCATGCAATTTCCCCCTGATAGCCCAGAACTTAATGTGATTGAAAATCTGTTTTCTGTTTTGAAGAGAGGTCAATGTGCTACGTATATACTGGACATTGGAGGCCAAAGTGCGATATGTAATGGAGCACAAAATAGAAAATGACTTCATAACAAAGTTGGTGGATTCGATGCCGAATAGACTAGAAAAAGTCCTAAAGAACAAAGGTGGACCAATTGACTATTAGTGTACATAAAATTTACACCTCAATTATTATCAATGTTAATTTGTTGTACATGAAACTGTTCCATTCTCTTCAGCTGCCTTTTACCTGATCATGGTATAGGTCAGTCACTAGTGACGAAAAGGGAGTATCCGCTACATTCGAAACCATTCTATCTGCCGAGTATAATCGAATCAGGAAAATTACGTCTATAAAGACTGACCAAGGCTTGTTCATTATTATTTGGAAGAAAAATTTACTCCAGTGTAAATATTGTTGCCTATACTAACCGACAAGTGTTTCACACGGACCTGTTACTTCAGTTTCGATTAGACCTGTATATATACGTATAGCTTGAAAGCACTCCATCTGTCGTCGCCTTGACCTGTCTCACGGGATAAACTGACTCATGCTCCGTCAAGCATAAAAAGGTGAACAAAGACGGTTGATGAGGCCACCTCCGTCCAGACTTTGTACGGTGTTTCCTCAATGATTTTTGTTCAAATCTACAAACCAATACTGTTGCTTCTATCATTATAATCGTTTAAGTTTCAATTCTATGTTTCATATAACCATGCGCGTAACTGCGAAACGCCTGAGGATCATGTTAGGAAAACAAACTTATTTCCATGGGATGAATTTTCGGCGTTATGTAATTCGTTTTGCCTGTACTACTAACACAACACAATGGAATCAACTAAACAGGGATGATGCAGAATTTGTTAGCAAGCATCCCGGTAATCGACATGACTTTGTGTAAAAGCAAGATCGACCAGCATTTTGTGCTTCACTTTTTTTTTGCATACAAAGCTATGATGAAAAGCCCAGGAAGTAGAAATCATAATCAACCGGACCTATTGTTCACTCAGTATTACAACCGACCCAACCACTGAGAGTATTGAACCAGATAAGGGTTCAGAAAACTAGGCGTGGTCCTGAGTAGCAGAATTGGGAAACTGCCTATCATCGAAGCTGTGTGGTGGTGCCGGGGTTTGAACCTGAAACCGGAGGACCAAAAGCATGCCAACGACAGTGACAACCGCGCTGCTCATGACATTCCGATTGCGCTGTTCAAAATGATAAGGAGAGCATATAAGAAATGGAGTGAGACAACAGATGTAGTCATTCAAAAAAGGCTAAATGATGCTCAAATGTTACAACTCACCAAATTCGGTGGGAATCGAAGATGATAATGACGATGGTGAATAGGGCGAATGAAGGAGCGACTGACAGACAGGCGGCGGGAAAACAGATGAGACCGAGTGGTGGAAACTGAAGAGACACGTATTCAGACTAGGATGAGCCAGTCTTTAGACGATCTAGTGCGCGACGCTTCACGTTACTTGAAATCCGGGGATTGCTATCCAGTGCACGGCTGAGAAGCTCGACGAGAAAATTTGTGGTGTACTGCGGCGACGCAGAATCAACTGCCTCGAATGCAGAAACTAATTCATCGATGGAGTCGGCCGCACCATTCCGAATCTGATCATACACCCCACGTAACTGCATTGAACAGAATGAAACAAAGGTAATCACGTCAAAACAGTTAGCAGATATCTTCAAGGATCATTGTCTGCCCCAGTCGGGTCAGACTTGATTAGGGATATACATGGAAAAGAGTACCATTCATCCAAGTGAGTTATTACGCTTAAAACCAATTTGTTTATCCGTTCACCTTCGTCGAGATTACGTTACACTCATCGCAACCGCGCTTTCTACATACAATGAAGCTGCTGAAGGTGTTACAAAAACAAGAGGTCAAGATGAGTTAGCCAAGTGCGGCGCGGAACTGCGCAGTTCAAGTGAAACACCAGGCAATTAACGATGACAAACGGTTTGGTTCGATTCACGTTGGTGAAAATCTTAATTCAACGAATCGATTAATCGGTGGATAACGAGAACAGTGGAAAAGCGAGTGACCCAAATCGCTTCGAAATGAGACGTCTGATTTAAAACGTTCGTGTTATATTTGGAAGACGTTAATCAGAAAAATCTAAACATTTTCAACCAACAGCTCAGCGTAAAACCTATTTGTAAAAAGACATTTTTGCTTGAAGAGGACAACGCGGAATTGGTTTGATTACACACACTTGTGTGATAAACAGCAGTTACAGTGAACCCCATAATCACGGAGGTCGGTTTTTCAGCGATGGAGACCGGTTACCCCGGGATTCAGAGTGACGAACCACATAAGGCCGCGCAAGGCCAGACGTGGTATTGGACCGGACGGCAGCAAAGCTACCTACTCCCAAAACTGGGTAGCTGTGGTGGTGCACGAACCTCGGACCACAGAGTCCAAAGCACATGGGGACAACTATTAAACTAGTGCCACCACCACCATCACAGCTCTTTTCAGGTAACAAGAATAACCTTTAAGCTATCTGTTCACTTTGCTGTTGATGATAGAAAGCACCTGTGACTTCGTGCATAGCCGCAACAAACTTTCGCCTTTTAGTATGGAGAATCCAGAATTTTATCCATTTGTAGACAAGTGAGGTTTCAAATGGTCCGCCAAAAGGGCCTTCAGGGTTCACGCAAAAAAATGGAGATCGATTGATACGGATCGAAGAGTCACAAAGATACTAAGCGACATTGGAAATGTGAATTTTCGGCACCCGAAACTGCGGGTCTGTTTTTTAACAATTTGCATAAGGTAGCTTATGTGCTCCGAAGTAACGAAAATTTCTTAAAAAACTGCAAAGATGAACTGAACTATTCATGGTAGTGATATGAAGAGTTATTAGTCACGTTAGACAATTATGGCCGATTGTTTGAATACAGTTTGACGTCTTCACGTCCCCAAAAGCACGAAATGAATATTCGAAACTGGCCCAAACCACGAAGTACAATTTGTAAATACACGGACCAATTACATAGGCAATAGTTTAAAGACTCCAGAGATCACGTCTTCACAAACACCGCTCAAATTATCCCGAAGTAAAGGGGGCCCAAACACAGTGCGTCTTTTCCAGATGCTGTGAATGAAACCAGGCAGGGTAGATTACTCCAAACACAGCTGTTAATGACGAATTGAAAGACTATCTGCGAATCACACATTGTGTTTAAAGAATCCGAAGCATGTCTAACGTACCTTTGAACTAAATTCGAAGTTGCGGCCACCTTGCACGCAGATACTCGGCATTCGGCTTACGACGCACTTACATAAGAGGCTGAACGTGGAATAGATCGCCGGATATTACCCAAGACCCGAAATTCCCTATCTACCTAGCAGTTTTAGCTCCTCGATGATTTTCGAAGTGTGGTAGGACCTTCTACATGATCGTTTAAATCTTCCCTGTCTAAGTGTCAGATGTAGCGAAATAATTCCATTGGCTAGACCTTCGGCATCTAGATTCTTTGGATCAGTTTCCCGTGGTATTATAAGCACGGACATTAAATGAATACACTGTTTGTTGTTCAACATTCTGATTTGCATCAGTCGCTCCGTGTACTGTTCGACAGATGCACGTGGATGTGGACAAGGGCAGATACCAGCACACTACAATGGTTATTAGCGAAAGGTTTTTGATGCGTCCAAGATGCTGAACCGATCGGGAGTAAAACCGTCGTTTTCAGTTCCTGAATCGTAATCTTCGGTTTGGAATGCACAATAATATATTGGAATAATTAAATAATAATCTTATAGCTTCCGAGATGAACAAACGCTGTACGACTTACGCTGCTATTCAAATATTTCTAATAAGTTCGAATTCAAAACCGAATCATTGACGTTCCGTGATGCAGGACACAGCGTACCCAGAAGGCCACGTAAATCCAAAATACGGTCTCGGAAAAAGGGATCTACGAAAGTGAATCGCTGTCGCCGGAATGAGTGTAATGACCTGATGATCTGAGTCTTGGTGAATCATCAATACAGCCGTCACGAGTAGACTATTATCGGGTAATAAAGATGAAGCAATTATTCCAATTATGACCCACATCTTGCCTTCTAGATTGTCAGACCATAAACTACTCTCAGTAGCTTTATCGGAAGTTCAACAAGACCAACGGTCTGAGCTTGTTGAAACTGGTGATCGCTTTTACGCAAAGGGTCTGTTATGTAAATGCCATAGTGGTAGACGGGAGTGCGTTACCGACGAGTTCTAACGAGGAAAAATGGGGTCAACGACTCTTGGAAGGTACGCCTGACAAGAGGAACTGAGAGGTGCACGTGAAGGTGAGGTCTAAAGAGTGGTTAATCAAAATCAAAATTAACATATCACCTAGAGTGCCGGAAGCGATGATAGTGAAAAAGCAAGTTCTTTTTCTGTATGTAAACGCAGTTAGACATGAAGAGGTAGATAAATGCAGTTTGATTTTCCAAGCTCGTGCAGCCACTGAACCCATTATTTCGATAGTGATTTGTCTACAGTGGTACATCCCATTCTAACTTATACACCGGGGAAGTTTGTCAGAGAAACTGCAATTCCAGGTAAAGTCGCGAAGATGGCGGTGATGATGGTCGATGACAATGATGAAAACCATTCTACAGGCGTTGTGAACGACTATCACTTACATTCTCCAGGAGTGGCAATATGTGCTGATGCAGGCATACCGATCGAGGATGGGAGCCCAAATGGGGATGGACCAAAGTATCCGTGTACTGAGACCCGCGATCGATAAAAGATTTAACTTGTCTGTTCACATTCTTTGGAGTTTCATCCACCAGCACGACGGTTGGCTGTGCATGACGCACTACGGGAACTCCCGGCCCAGGAGCTACAGTTAGAACATAACAGAAGGGACGTGAACAAGTGGGCATGAAAACGGTGGTAATGCAAGCGTCATATATCATAGTTTCGATTAGTCGACAATACACGTCACTGCTAGAGTAAAACTGAGAGTATTGAGTTACCAACGCGTCGTGCGTAGGATGGGAATATTCATGCACCACGGGAACATCGAGCAGCCGCTAAAATGTTATTCATCCAGAAATTCTCTGGACTTGCATTCTAATGTGGAAATCAAGTAATAAGGTACTGATACAAAGTCCGTCAAAAAACATGGTGATGCCGATCGACACAACGCATCGAGGTGCAGCTCCCAACCCAAATCATGGTACACAGAGAAAGGAACTAGAACGGTGAGTCAGATCTTAGATCGGGAGGCAGTTGCATAATGTGCATCAGTTTCACTCCGTATGAACGATTTCCGTAATGTAGGAACAAAAAACAAGAGACAGACTGCTCTAAGTAGGGTACGTATGATAAGGAGCTATCGCACGATAAGCAGCATTTCGTTTGTTTTCGGTAGTATTTCGAGCAGCTTCGTGCGAGGGAAAATGGCCAGAATAGTGTGAACATGCTTGAGTTCTAAAAAGCGAATTAGTTGGAATGCCCCGACCGCTGCGGTTGCAAGGACGACATCACTTTCCGGGGATACCGTGACATAAAATAAAGATTAGGAGACCCAGGATCGATGAAGAAATATGGGTGTTCTGTACAAAATGAAGTCTGCAGCTTTCGTTTGATTGTGCATCCTTATCCTATGCACAAATATGTGCGGCTGACAGGATAATAGGGTGAAGTGTTGTTAGCCAGTGACTGATCCAACAGTTTCATCTTTTGGGTGGTACTTAACCACCCCAGGGAACCCAACATGTTATTTAAGTGTCTTTTCGAGTAGATAGATTTTGTTCTCCTCTAGTGATCGAGAAAAGAGAGCACTGGTCTTGCACAGTGGCGGGCGACATTCGAATGCGATACGTCAGGCATAAGATATTTTAAGGTCGCTAACCAGGCGGAAACCCACCACCTCCTTGAGCACCGCCTATGATTGGTGGACTGGAGCTCAGTTATTCACGGTAAACTATAAACGTGGCGATTCTTCTATCCGCGACCAAGGGACAAAAACTTACGACGACCTGTGGCCGTCCGTTGTCAGAACTAACGATGACGATAAGTTAGTAATTCTTGGAATGAAACTGGTGAAAAGCACTATCCAATAGAGCCGAGGAATGATGCAGATATGGATAGATCCCTCGAAGATCGTGTTCCAATTATCCCTCATTGAGCATAGCAAAATCTTCTGGCGAGTTGTGTGCCACTAGACGTAATATCTACGCAAGAACAATGGCAAGCTTTACTAACACTGTATACCGACAAGCAGAAAAGTAGTAAGTTGCTAGATACGGCTTCCAAAAGTTAAAAAAGGTGTCAAAAAACCAGTGCATACTTTTATCCCACACTGTACAAACATGAATCATGAACGGCTTTGATGGATCATCTGCATATTTTCGTACGTTACGTGGGAATCGAATGGACTGTGGTGTTGCTCGACATGAGATCACTTGTTCATATCATCTAATCAAATCATGCTATGAGCATTTACAGCTTACTGGCGGGTCTTCCCACTCCCATCACAAGAACAACAATAGAGATAGAGCAATGTGAATTAAACAGTAGTGCAAACACCTCGGAAACACCGAGGAATGTTGAGTTGTGATGTTTTTACGTACCATCTGATAAACTATTTTGGAAGAGTCCTTGAAAATATTCGTTGAAGTTTTAAATGAAATAGATATTCAAAAGGACGCATTTGGTGTGTGTGTGTGTGTGTGTGTGTGTGT